ACGGGACGAGCCAAATCTGAGAGAATGTTTACATCAATGTGCATTTTTGGCGATGGGTCGGATTTCACTTCACCGCATGAAAAGCCACGTGTAAACTCAACCAGCACACATTCTCATCAGATTACAATCTGATCACTCAAACTTTCTGAGGTTGTCAAAGATGGATCTCAACCACAGTGTACACAGAATGTGTTTTTTGTACCTGCATACAGTTATGTCAAAGCGGAAATGAGCCTGGCAAGTGCTGACCAGCAGGCGAGAGGATAAACAAAAGGATGAACGATACACAAGGCTGAAGTTATCCCCAAACCATGTGGCGATAAAACTGTCCAAACCAAGCTTGTTCTTTTGTATCGAAATAGGGGAAAAAGTAAATAAAAGTGAAACGAAAATGACAAACAACGTATGCTTTGGTGTGCTTTTTAGGCAGGGAAGTGAAATCAGATTTATTCTGGTTGCATTGGGGCCACATTGTAGTGAAAAGTGTAAACTGAATCTGGCCAAAGTCTATCCAGATACAAGTCCTCCTATACGGGTCTACACTTCAGTTCCTCACTCTCATAATGCATGGTGTAAAAACCTATCTAGTGAGAGAGTGAAATGGGGAAAAATAATATTAGGTGACATACTGATAATGCCTGTAATCTCAAAAATGCTGGTACAATGCAGAATAGTGCTTACATTATTCCCCCTTCGAAAAGAGGCATTCATAGATTACAGTTCTTTACAGGTCACATTTCTTTGTCAGGCCATTATGTTTGAGCTAAGAGGAAAAGAATGTGTTCAGGTGTGACTGCTATGAGGTCACCCAACTGTGCGGGCAGGTTTCACTCTTGTGCCTTAAAACTACTGAGTTTTAATCCATGCACCGCTTAACCAAGCTAAAACTACCTTCTCTGGAGACCCCCTGTTTAATCAGCAGTAACCCAGAGGACTTTCTAAGATTGTTTAGGACTAAATCAATCATAAGAGAAATCTCAAAAATGTTTACAGTGTAATCTAAAAGAGGAACAACAGTGAACATCAGATGTCTAGGTCAGATGCAGTCTGAAATGAGCCCCGTTCAGCACACAGGACAGATAATCAAATACACTGTGCAGGATGTTTACTATGTTGAATGTCTGTCACGCATTTTGTCTGTTGAACATTTGGAGGTTGTGTTTACTCCTCGTAGCCTAGCCCCATGTGGGAATGCTAATAGTTTAGTGAATTTAGGAAGCTCTTTGGTTTTTACGTCAGCACTGTTGCCTAGAAGTGTGGCGGTCTGGTTTACTGGAGACCAGAAGCCCCTTCATGACTCACACGATTCTGGTGAGGAAGGCAAATTCATCCACTTTTTACTGCATACAAGATGATGCGTCACATTCACTTATGTTTCACCCGTTCTACTTGTGCTCTCTTTGATGTGACCATACAGCTTGTTTTATCCAAATTACATCAGTCGTTGACTATAAAGAACGACATGGAAAATCTCAAACCTTATTAGGCAAAATAACATGCCAAAATCATATTATTTGTAAATTTTAAATACAGTCACTAAGAGACCCACTAATATGTCAAGCAATATTTTTCTCCTTTTATAAATTTACTTTTGAGGTTTCTCAAAAGATGCAGTACTGTTAAAAAATCAGAGATCACGCTTCATTTATTTAAGTTCCAGGTAAAAGTTATTCATTTATCAAGAGTTAATTCTGAAGAGACTAGATAAAAGAGAATCTACTTGCATAAGGAAGGTGGAAGTCAAAGGAAAATAAGTGAAAAATTGCAATTTCCAAAAGTTCAAGGAGTTCAAAAAAATTATTAAAATATGAAGAGAAATGGAAGAACTGTGCAATGCCTGGTAGACCAGCAAAACTGCCATCTTCAGATAAACAGTACTTAAAGCTTTCATATTTGGGATCCACATAAAAAATCCACATCTGTCCATTCTCCCAGTCTGGGAAGACAAGTCAAGCTATGAGTCTGACAGCATGTGTAGCTGTCAAGAAGCCCTTACTGAGAAAAGCAAATAGGCAAAAAAGAAGAGAATTTGTAAATCAAATAAAGAAGCTGCTGGTTTTCTCAGAATAATGGACTGACCATCCCAGTTGAGTCCAGATCTCAACATCACTAAATGTGTTTGAAATTATTTGTCCCTGCAGGTTTAAAGAGTGGACACATTAAACACTGAAAAAACTATGATTATACTTTTGTTGAGAGATTTCTGATATATATGTTTGCTGATTCTGTCCTGACACTGAATAACTTGTACTTAATGACCATTTTGACTGAAAATAAAAAGCAAAGGAAAGGGGGTCTCTGACTTTTGCACAGTACTCACAAACTGAAAAAGATGGGAAAAAAATGAAATACATGAGAGGAGGCTTGTCTTATTACTGATCTACACCCAAAGGATAACTAAAGAGCTTTTACCTTTTTTAAACTACTTATTGACGTTTTATTACACTATTAGCCATTAACTGCAAAATTACGCATAAAATCAAATACTGTCACCAGTTAGTGGTGAGTCATGAGGGCATGTACAATTATGACTCCCAGGATCTGAGAGCAGCCTTGTGGGTGAGGCTTATCTACAGAGATATGGGCTGAGGGAGACATTTCCGCTCAGGACCCAACCTTTAGCACACACACACACTCACTCAGACACACACTCTCTCCTGTTTCTCACACATGAGTGGCCTTGGAGTCATATATTCCCAAGCCACTTCTCTAAATACCGTTGTTGAAGGCCCAGAAAGTAAACATGAAAGTCACACAGTGTCATATATACCATTTCTATTCATGTGATATGGCTTCATTGACAGTTACATATCTATGGTTGCCCTTTTGTCCAATATTGACTTTCAACTGCACTCCCAACCCAGCTAAATTATGAATGAATGACTTACAAACAGGCCTACGTTTAAGAAAGGGCTGTAAATGAATGGGGATATTTGTGAGCTCAAATGGATTTTATTTGCCTCATTAACTTTTTTTTATCAAAAGTCACACATGAACTATCACTGCAGGGCCATATGATGATGCTGCTGGGAGCAAAGAGTCACGGCCGTGCCTTCTGTTTAAAAACACAAGCCTCTCGGGCTGTCCTGACCTCACGGTCAAGTGGCTGGAGGACAAACTGTGGCACAGGACGTTATGAGAAGGGCAATTAGCGAGACATATTTTAGGACAGGATCAGACCTCGGTATTACTTCTTAGATCAGGATGTCCTTTGATCTGCAGTGAAGTCTGATCCAGCATCAAAGGCTGGCAGCAAAGGAACTCCAGAGAGAAGCTCAGTTACGGCCACTCTGAAGCTTGCTCACACATGTCCACTTCCCCCTCCGCTGCACAGCCTGACTGATTTGGCTTTAATTAAAGCTTAAAATACAAAGTGAAGCTCTGAGAGTAACAAAGGAAAGGCTTATATGGTAGCAGGTTATTAGAGAAGTGGGCAGAAAGGTACTTATCCTAAATCAAACATACAGTACAAACTCACCATAGTCATAGTTTCCTCTATATTATCACTGTTTGAACAAAACCTTGTAACCCCAGAGGGGCAGCTTTACAGGAAAAGGCAAAAATGTTCTTAACGTCTAATGCAAGTTAAGGTGAAGAGATTTTAATCCATTTCTGTTGGTCTGATCATCATGAAATAGTCACACAATGTACTGGACAGATGGAGTGTTTAAATGATTTAGAAAAATAAAATTTGTATATGTTTGTTTTGGACAGCAAAGGTTGGACTTCCACCTTCCTTATGCTTGTGGATCATCTTTTATCCAGTCTTTTCAGAAATAACTCGTGATAAATGAATCTTGAATCTTGTATCTCCAGAATGGTAACTTCTCACTTTACAAGATTTTAGTCTCAGTATGTTTGGAGCATTTCTATTGGTCCATTCATCATGAAATGTCCCCACAATGTAAAGGGCAGCTGGCATTTTCTGATGCTCAAAAACAATATAAAATGATAAAAATGGAGATTATAAGATTTTTTCAGCAACAATATCCTCCATGTTTAAATACTTTTTTTATAAATACTGTTTAAAAACACCAAACAATGAAACGGTAAAAACTGAACCACACAAGCCTGTCCACATAAAGTTTCCAAAAAACCCACAAAAAAACACGTATCTCCATTTTGTTGATTTTTATCTGGTTGCTGTCTTTCACACTGTGTGAAAACTCCATGATGAATGGACCAATTAAAACGCTCCATCACTTGGAATAAAACCCCTTTAAATTAACTTACATTAAAAGTAAAGAACTTCTTCCTCCTGTAAATTTACCATTTTAGAGACACGCTGTCGTTGTACAGTGTTGTGTCATGCTGCTGCTACTTTTCCTCTGAGTTGTTCAGCTGTAGATTAATCAGCCAGTCCACTTTAAATTACATCCAGGACCTTTGGACCAGAGAGTGTTGAGTGACAATATGTAATCTGGCTCTGGCTGTAACTGTAACTCTGAGGTCACTTTTATTCCCTTTCCAGTTAATGAAGCGGCTCTCTTTGAATCTTGGGTGGGCCACACATTTATGACCTTCTAATCTAGACTTAGTCATGTTTATTGGTGCAAACTTGTAAATCTCATAAAAAGGCTGTAAAATGTTTAAGCCAACGAAGCGTCATAGTTCCACTCTCAGCCGATATCAAGATCGAAGTGCAACATTCTTCCTGTTGATCTGGCTTTCGGCATCCTCTCAACCCACAGCAATGTAACAATGCAATAAAACAGGTCGACTGAGTCATCTTATCTCAAACGATATGACAACATTTTTTGTGAATGAGTAAAGACTGTGACAAGGGACTTTCCTACGCTTTAAGGCTCCTTAGGTCATCGCTAAGTAATCTACTACCTGATCTGATGGTTAGTTTAAGCTGTAATTGGAACGGAACTAACTTTAAATTCATTTTGATTCGGAATCATAAAGAAAAGTCAGACCCCAAACGCTGAACTTGGAAAGCTTTAACCATTTCAAGACTATTTAAGAGAATAATGACATCTGGTCAGATGAAAAGCTGTTCATTTTGTTGAAAATTTATTTAAATAAATACATAGTGAAATAGCACATGTATAATAACTTAATGACGTTTACACACAAAACGGTTTGCATATAATGCAACATTTCTTATAACAAATAAATAAACAAATTTACACAGACGTCAAGGGTGAGAGTCCCTCATGTCGACACGCTTTGAAAGTTCAAGGATTCAGTCTCGAGTGTCTCTTTTGCCTGTTGAAATTCTTTGTGTGTCTTCCAAAAAAAAAGAAGAAGAGAAAAGGCGGCGGGGAGCAGCTCCTCCAGGGTTCCTCTCTCTTTTCAGCCATGCCTTCTTCTCAGACATGTAGACAATGAATGAGAAAAGCCTCCACTTTGGTCCATGCTTTCTTCTGGCTCCATTTCTCAACATCTCTACAAAAGGAAGAGGCAGAGAACACTAAACTGGTGCCCACAACAAGACTTAATGACATATTAGCGAACAGCCTATTACACTTATGTAGGAAAACAGCCAGTTTCTCCAGGGGAGTGAAACAGGCTGATGGTGAAATGTGAGAAATGACACGCCTGCCGGCCTCCATGTCCTCAGCAGGCTCACACTCACCGTGCTGTGCGGAGAATCAGGAGTTTAATCAGGGAGCTCTGGCCATTCGTATGTCCTGCTGCGTCGTGGTCTCCGTGTCCTGCCTGGTTTTAAAGTCCTGGATGGCCTTTCTGTTCTGAAAGTCGATGAGGGCCATGGTGATCACCGCGTTCCAGCAGTTTTCCTCTCCTGAGCACCGGAAGTCGATCTCCTTGTTGTCTGTGGTCACGATGGTGAAGTAGACGAACTTGCCGGTTCGCTCCACACAGTCCACCTTCTTGATGGACTGCAGCTTCAGCTCTTTGCTTTTGTTCTTCTTCTGCTGGTCGGCGTAGATGTTGAGACTGTCCGTGGTCAGCACGCACGTCTTCCTCTTCCAGAACTGCAGCAGGTTGTCGCTCCTCTTCTCCAGCTCGCCCTCCTTCAGGACTCGCGCCACCTCAGTCGCGGACATTTTCATGGTTTTTCCAAACGGCCACTGGCCTCTCAGCGAAACGAGAAAACAATCCAAAGCGTGCTCTCGTGAGCGGCTGTGCGAAGTGCCCGGGGCCTCTCCTCGTGTGAGAGAGACTGTCAGACGGCGCTGGGAGTGAATGAATGAATGAAGCCGGCGGGTTTTATCGAGTCTGGCGGTGGTCCGCCTCCGCGCCGTCACACCGCGCAGTCCGCTCCGCAGCTGCCGCGCGCTCTCATTGGCTGCGAGAGGCACCACACCAGCCAATCAGAGCGCAGGACTGGGCCTTATTAAACACATTATACAAACCCCATACTCAGCGCTGGCAGTGGCGTTTATTAGCCTTAATAAAACACTATCCGCCCTGGATACCTACAGTATTTCAGCCACAGAGAACCTTTTAAAGATATCACTGTACAGATCTGAGCTTCTCCCTCCAGGTAGCCTTTATGACACGAGCTCTGGATGTAACCATTTTAACAAGACAGCTCGTTTTGCCTTCTTACAGGAGATTTTCAAGATTTAATAGACAACAACAACAACAACAACAACAACAACAACAATAACAATAATAACAACAATAACAATAATAATAATAATAATAATAATAATAATAATAATAACTCTCTTCTCTACGCTGCGGTGCAGCTGTAGCTAGAAGCGCCATACCTCACTATAACTTTAAGATTTTGAACTGCCTCATGGCAGTTGGACCAGAGAGGAAACGTCACCTATTAGATCTCTGAACTGCTCTAATACTCTGTCACTGTACTCTTGAAACACCACATTCCTTCATTAAAAGTACATTTAAACACTCGGATGGCATGTACAAGTGCCTGTTTATTCTTTATAGCACCTCTGCTTAGGCCACCTGAAAATAGACAGACAGATGAACAGACAAACAGACAGAGACAAACAAACAGATAGCTGGATATGTAGATATGTAGATAAATAGATAGGTAGATAGGTAGCTAGTTAGCTAGCTAGATAGAGAGACAGACAGACAGACAGACAGACAGATAGATAGACACAGTCCTCTGGGCAGTAAGCATGTATCTGTTAACAATAAAAACACTAACTTTGGAATAAAGGCAAATTAACAAATAAACAACACATTGTGATTGTATGCGTGTGTTAGCTTAACCAATTCCAAAACTCTCCTCAAGAAAGTCCAGTATGCACAACTGTTACCACCCAACACCTGCTAATTGAGCCTTTGTTCATTTAAAATGAATGAATGATGTCAGGTGTGCTGCTGAAGGAATTCAACAAATCCATTCAATGGCTGGAGTGAACTGAGACACACTCTTCTAACGGCATTCTTTTAACCAAGATATTGATAACTTTTTAAAAACAAGGAATTTCTGTCATGTTTTACTCTATTTATATTTGTTTGTATTTATAGTCACTTAATGCTGTATAGTGTTTTTACTGAAACACTCTGGGATAAATAGATTTAAACATTGATCTGACCGCCTAAGAATTTGACACAGTACTGTATAAAGATTTGTTGTCCTTCCTCAAATGTCAATTTAATTCAGTTAAATTTGGATTTGGTAATTAAACGCTGTGTAACTCACAGAAGGTACAGAAAAAAAGAAAAGCTACAATGGCATTTATACCAAAGGAAAAACTGTGTGCATTACAGCATTATAAAACAAGTAACCCTTCCACACAGTCTCTACTGGACCTATTCCATCACACCTACAAGACAGCACTGTGATTTATTTTAGTTGCCACATATAATTGTTTTGCAATTCTGAAGTAGACATAAATTGACCACATTGGTTTGTCGTGGAACAGATCTGAACAACTGATGAAGTCTAAACCACAGTTGTGGTTTGCGTGGTACCGGATGAGGGTAGTAGTTGAGAAATAAAAAACACAAAATTGCATTTCTTCGATAATGCCTTTAGACGTGTGTGTGGGGGTGTAGATATTGTAGTTGATCAGAAGTGAATGGCTCACTGTGTGGTAAGACTGGGCTTGAGCTTCTGAAGGGCTTAATGATCAGTTAACGAAACGGAAGAGGAGAGCTGTACAAACACAGCTGTGCATTACAAGAAAAGGCCATTCACAGCCATAAAGTAAGGGTTGGACAGTGATTTTACATAGTAAAAATTGCTTCATGTCTTATCAGTAAAATAAGGTGTTTATTTAAACCGCTATGAGTAACGCTGATTGTGTGTGTATTGTGCAAAAGACCACCCTTCATTTAATTAATTTCCAGTCAAAATGTCCATTAAGTACAACTTACTCATTTTTCAGAAAATATTTTTGTGATGAATAGATATAACCTACTTGCATAAGGAAGAAGAAAATCAAAGTAAAATAAGTGAAAAAAGAAGTTTCCAATACTTTACTATTATTAAAAGTTATTGGAAAAGAAATTGGAACCCCTAATAACCATGCAAGACCTAGATGACCACCAAAACTGTACATACAGCTTTCATCTTTTAGGCTCTTGCTTAAGACCTGAAAATATCCAGAGGTGTTTCTGTCCATCCTTCCACTGTGAGAAGACAACTCAACACTATCAGTGTGAAAGGATGTGTAGCTGTCTAAAGATTTACGTAACAAGTAAGTCTCTCAAAAGAATGGAGGCTAAAGACTCTGATGCAAATTCAGGGAGGTTCACATGTCCTTCCCACTTTCTGACATTAGGTGAGATATGTTTGTAGCGTAGCAGCATGGATGTCATGAAAGTACATGGCTTATATTATTAAAAAAAATTACCTTTACATCTTGCACTGCAGTCAAATTACACTGTTATTACAAGCTAAATCACAGGGCGACTGTGTAAGTGTAAATGTAGTTTTGCACACAGGCCTTTTTTAAACTGTGCAAAAAGAGTCTTTGTCAGTGTGCAGCAGCACTTAGTGAAGCAGGCGGCCTAACAGCTAACTTCACTACTTTTTATTAGTGCCAACATTATGTAATTATTATCCATGTATTTTACAAAATGTCCCTGTATGTAATTCCTGTAATAATACACTAAATACTAAATAGTGAAAGATGTGATATTATATTTAACTGTTGAAGCTTTTGTGTAATTTTCTGGTACGTATGGTGGTTTTTATCTGATGCTGAATAATGATCACACGCTTAGTGGAAATTAAACAAATGAAATGACTTTTGCACAGTAAGTGTTAATGACTAATTGTGAAATCAAAGCCTTGATGACTGGACCAGTACCCACTCACAGATCCTGATATGGTCTACTCAGATGTCATTTAGAAACATTTTCTCTTTCTTTTCCTTGTATAGATGGATTGTATTGTAGTTACCAGGGAGTGTGTATGTGTGAGGGGGTTTCATCCAGGGAAAACACACAGGCAGAGAGGCATGTCTGTGCTATGAGTCAGCCTAACCCAAAGTATTACTGCCCTGCTGGGAGGGGCTCTGCCTAGTCATTCCAGATCCGGCTAGACGTTGCCTTTTCCACACTCAAATAGGACCAAGACTTCACAACCTGTGGGGACACAGTAAAAAAGATAAGACTGCTGTCAGATCAGTGTAAATGTTAGTTTCAACTAACATTGATCCACCACTGAACTCAGTGTCAGGCCAGGACTGCTTTCACCACTGTGTCTTCATCACACTTGCTGAAGATGGCATTCCATCCGCTTCTGAACCCTTCTCCAGTGTTACTCAGTGGGTGTATTTTGAGAACAGTAAATTCCTAACATTGGCCTCATTGTCTGAGGAAAGTCATAACAAGGTTTTGTAAGGAAAAGCATAACACAGGAGTTGATTTAGGCTAGGACTGAGGTGGGCTAAGCAGAAAAACTAATATTAATGTGGTTTTTGAGTCATTTACAGTTCAACTGCTGAATAGACACTACACTGTATTTCCTGGTGGTAGTCAGAAATATGTTCTGAACAAAGAATGCATAATAATGGCACTTAAGTGCTAGTGGGATTCATAAACTGGATCAAGGGACTTACCACGTCTGACTCCATGTTGGGTTCAAGCAGTCAAGTCTCGACATGTCCTGAAAGCTTGGCCTTACATTGTATGGTGGTGCGAGGAAATGCAGAGTCATTTCTCTGAGCTCCATCTCACAAGAACACACAGTGGCTCCTTCTGTTCAGCAAAGTCTGAAAGAGATCAAGTCATTAGAACACTGGAGTCTTAAATGACCAAGCCATGGGCACATAGCATGCGGCCTGTGGAAGGAAGAAGTGGGATGACTTTTTAAAAAATGGACATTTTTAGTTAAGATGACAGACAGGGACTTTCCTACACCAAAGCAATGCTAATGCAAAGCAATGCTAATGCATTCTGAAGGACTTCAAATAAAAGACTTACTGACCCTTTTAAATACATCTCTTCATGCATGTAGCATCAAAACACTGTTTTCTCTTTCAATAACTGGAAAATTTCCCTTCTCATGGTCTAATTTGAAGGTGGGAGGAAATTTGAAAAAGTGTAACATTTGGACTGGATTTTTGGAAGCAGGCTGTTTAAAATGTTATTATCTTTCCTGCTAGCTGGCTAATGCAGAAGGCAAGTCACTAATACTGCTAGGAATCTGAATATCTTATTGAAGCTGTATAATTATGGTAACTGCCTTCAAATCATTATTACAGTGGAGAGAACAGATTACTCAAATGACACAAATGACTATTTAATGTGGAGGACAACAAGCTAAAAGCTAAAGTTAGCAAAGTAGCTACCTGGCTAGTTAGATACCTCACCTCAGTTTTTGCATCATTTCTCTGGCTGAAGGGGAAAACATGTCTCTGGCACAATTTTGTGTTAAAAAAAGCTACAGTTTTCCTTACTATTGGGGTAAAACTCAATATGGTGACGTCTTGCTGCCAAGCATTATAAATAATAAACCCTTCAGCATGTTGTTATTACAAGATGTTATACTGTAATTATAAAACTTGTAATTATGAGAAAGTATTTCATTATTATAAGAAAATATGTGGTCAATGATATGTCATAAAGAAAAAAGAAAAAACATATGAGAAAATATCTTATTATGAGAATGTTGTAAAAACTGTCATAATCATGAGAAAGAACATCTCATAATTTTGAGAAAGTATCTTGTTATTATGAGATGTCAAAGATCTAGTTTCAGTGAAACTTATTTCATGTGTTCTTTCTTATATTTATGTAATATAATATGTC